ATGTACCTTTACATGTGTTTGATCTACTTTTTTATTGCTATCACAAGAGATAAAACAACATCCCTTGTGGCATGGGCCATGAAAGACCCCTCTTTATGGAGAGATCAGGGGTCTAAGGGCAATTAAGCAGCTAAGAACAGAAGAATAATGGCAATTTATCATGTTTTATATCTATTGTGGCTGAGGCAGTGCGGTAATCCTGCCACGGTGGAAATGCAAGATGGAGACCCAAGGATTCTCAAACCATCAGAGGTTGAGGCGCTTACCAGGCAGATCTTACTAATGCAGAAGGAAACTGGTTTATCAGTTACCCCTCTTTGGGTTGGTAAAGCCTTGTTTTTGGGACCCCTAGTAGTCCTGTAGATATCTATTAGAGTTTTGAAATGGATGCGATGAAATCATCCATATCCTGGGACCATATTTTGGGAGCAGCCATGCGTTGCTGATTGCACAAGTGTGTTGCAGGTCTTTTAGGGGAAGCAAGGCCATGATTCTGGGCTCCCACCCCGGCAAATACTGAGTCGGGAGGGCTCCACCCCAGCAGGAGGAATTCCACCCCGGCAGGCAGGAGTGTATTCTGCCCGTGGAGTCCATGTGTGGCTTACACCTAGGAGAGGTGGAAGCTCTGACTAGCAGTTGTGCTAGAGCCATACTTTGGTAAGGAGTCCCTGCAAGGGAGGCAGACCTTAATACTGCATACATGCCATTGGAGGCTGAATTACTGTTCATTGAAATTCAGTGTGATGGTGGATACCCTGATCTGGTAACCTTTATGTTATTGAACTGTCATTTAAATAAAAGTGGCAAACAGGCCCCTTATAAAATATAAGGAGAGTTGCCGCCGTGCCTTTGAAGAAGATCTATCCACTAGAAGTCGAGTTCCCACATAAAGGTGGTGGATGCGGGGCAGAACTGGAAAGATTCCCTGCAAAAAGTAAGTTCATCAGTTTATATGACTCTGTGTATCTGTGCAATGGACAGCACAATTTGTGTGTGCAAGTGAAGAAGAAACCTGCCTTAAAAGACAGGTGACTTCATTTCTTTGATGCTGGACTGTGCAAAATGTGTTGTGAAGTGACTGTGAAACGATGGGGGCGGACAAAGCAAAGAAATGAAGAAAGATTTGCGTAAATGAGAGACAGAGCCCTATGGCCTGGAGGGGGTTGTTATCACCAGAACAAGACACCATTACATGGATGAACATAGTTTTGCCCAAAGTGGAATGGTGGTCAGGGTGGCGAGAAAACAACAAAGAAACGAGTGGGGAAAAGAGTATAAAAGCCCACCTAAATGTTGTTTGACCACTGGCAATCCCTGGTGAAAGGAGAGCCAGCTATGAATGTGCAGAGTCCCTACAGCTGGAAAAAAAGGCTGGCAATGTGGGGAGCCTGGACAAGACACACTGGCATTGAGGCGATGCATGCGGTTGCAGGGAGTGGGGGCACGCTGTCTTCCAATAGTAGCCCTTTGTCCTCAGCCTCCATTGCAAAAGTTGCATATCAAAAGCAAAGGACTGCATCTGTGTTGTGGCAAAGCTGGCTCTGAGTGCAATGGAAGGAGCGACAGGCTGACCACAAGTTTGAGAGGAAGGATGGAGTGTGGTATGCATGGTAGCAATAGCGTGCAATGGTAAAATCTACGGTGAGAGAGTGCTGAGTTTCTGGGCCTCTGATTACATGCAAACCATGCTACTTAAATTCATACAAGTGAGAGTTTGGGGACTTCCCTTTGAAAACTTTGAAAAAAGGTGATACACAGAGAATAATCGGCCTAGTGGACTCGGTGGCCAAAGTTGCTGCAAACCTTGATTACCGAGGGAGTTCCTGTCCGATTTACCATTGTGATGGGATTGGGACCAGGCATGACTACTGCACCTTTAAAGAGGAAATCCTTCTTCAAGGGGAAAGTCGGCGGTTGTCCATGGCTGGCCAAGCAATGCCTCCTGGTTTGGGAGAGGTGTCACATGGAAGGCCAAGAGACTCAAAAAAACCAGAGGAAATGCAAAGGTTTCGTGTTACGGCTGCTTAGGTGAAATGGTCCAGCCCTGGAACAGAGGGCACAACAGTCTGCCGTCACAAAGTGTGGTATAGCCAATTGCATTTAGAGAGGACAAGTCTACTGTGACCCCTAGCAATCAGGGAATCTGATGTTACTGCAGGGGTTGGGTTGTAAGTTGGTCCGGGAATGGCTGCAGTGTAGCCCAGTGACCACATGGGGAAAGTCTGTGCTGTTGAGTACACCACAGAGGAGTGACTACGTACTCAAGTGAAGGCTTATGACATCTTCTGCTGCAGGAAATGGTAAGGACTGTTTCTGGTTGTAGGGATGAGCCCCAAAGGAAGTGGGGCTGTGTCGCTTCATGGAGTTCCACAATACAGCAGGGGGACATGGGACTGGCTGCTGTGTGCTAATACCCTGAGTAGTGGGGAGGCACAGGGAAACAGCCCAAACGATTAAGCAGGGACTAAATGTGGAAAAGGACCATGGTGGACTCTGGCAGGTGGCCTGATATAATCCAGCAGATGCTGGTGAAGTTAGGACAATGTGTGACCCAAAACTTGTCATGTGCACCGTGTTACCTAGTGAACGGTGCTGCAAGAGATGCCCAGGGACAACCTCCCCATGAGCCCGACCTAGTTTAGTGACGCGAGCAGAGGATTACCCAGGTCAGCTATGGAGCTGCAGTCATGACTATAGGTAATGAGAATGCTGTGTTGGTCATGCCAACAAAAGTGTGTATATACTGTTGGTAAATGTAAGGGGTTATTGGTTGGTGATGGGCCTAGCCCACAGCTCACTAAGGATGACTGTGTTTGATGTCGAATTTATGATTGAAGATTATGGTTGTTCGCCCTTGGCAAACCGTATACCAATGCTGCAAAGGTGTCCATGGGAAAACTACCTGGGTGCTCTGTGTGTTGGAGCTCTGAGGTTGAATGTGGACAACTAATGTTTGCTGCTCTGGACAAGAGAGTACTTGCACACAAATGATGATTTAAAAATGCTAAAAACTGGAAATCTATGAAAAAATGCTCATGGTGATAATGGGGTTAACTGAGGTCAGTGTCCAGCTACTGACAATATGTATGGAAGTGTTCCAGGAGGTGAATGACAGCTGCCATCAGGAGTACGGTTGGTGAAGGTGTGGTATTGCAACCTGTTGAGGTTAAAAATTTGAGTGCCACAGTTTTGGTTTGAACAAAAGTGATATATGTGATGTGTACTGCTGAGCCACACTGTCCTGTGTCTCCTACGGCAAGTTGGTGCGGTACTGCGTAGTACCTATGATCTGGAGCGCAGAGAAAGTAGACTGGGACAGAATGTGGCTGAAAGAAAAATCTGTTGGCTTTGTTGAAAGGGACCTCTGTTTCCAAATACGTGGAGTTGGACAAGACTACTCTGCTGTGGCTAAATGGAGGGACTGCAGAGCCGGATTTAATAGACAAGGGCACACTTGCTGTTGCTGCAGATGTTTCCTCCCTCCCAATATGGATGGGCCAAGTGAGATTGAGCACCATAGCAAGTGATCGTTGCCCACAACCCCACGAAGGATTCCAATGGTGTTGGGAATGAATATACTGTGATCCCAAATCCCAGCCAGTGTTTGGTGGAAGTAGTCTGATGGTCTCATATCCTGGTGATTGGGGTCAGTAAAACCAAATGGTAGAAATTATAGTGATGACGGTCTGGTGACAGGACTGTTGACTAGGAAGAGGTTCATGTGCCAGGGGAGCTGGTGGATAGCGATGTTGCCATGGGGAGACAACCACTCCAACGCTGTGCAACTTGGTCTCCAGACATTGCCTGCCAAAACATTGAAATGAGTTCTGACAAAGATGTGGATGTTTAATGACCATGAGGAACAATGCCAAGGCCATTGTAAATGGTTTTATGATGATGAGGAAAAAGTGCGAGGCACTGGTTAAATGTCGATCAGTTTCGTTTTCTGTGGGTGAACCATACAAGTACCCCAATGATGGATCTGAAGGTCAAGTGGGACATGTGTGCTGATCACCCTGAAAACCATGTGATGTGGTGTGGTAATGATGTGGTAGACACAGCTGAGCTATAAAAGCTGCAGTTGAATTTATGCCCCCTACAGGATCAGTGAGGTATAGTCTGGGGAAGAGAGAACTTTAAATGTGCTTACCTGGCCCAGAAGGTAAAAATCGTTAAAAGAAGTGGTGTATATACAAATGGTACCACCCTGACATTAAAAACATCTAAAGGAGGGCAAGAACAATTGGTCTGTTCTTCTGAAAGGGAGTAGGGACATTGCTGTCGTCTAAAGATAATATTCAGGGACCAAAATGGATGCATGCAGTGTACAGGGGAAAACCTAACCGAGGCTAGGTTTTGGTCAGTTAAGAAGATGCCCTGTACATAGAATGCAGAGAGGGTACTAAGGTAACCCCCAATAAAAGAAGCCCACACTTTTTGTTCTTAAAAATAGTGTGACCCCTTCAACGGTAAAGGGGAGGAAACCGGAGGTTAAGAGTTGTCAGCAATAGCTTTTATTAATGTTTAGTCAGACACCTAAAAACTCACAGGCGTCAACCTCATCCTCAGAAAGGGTCCCAAGTCTTTGGTAAATTCCTTAATGGGATGGTGATCATTGGGTGGCCACAAGGAAAATAAAAAAGGCAACGCATTTGGAGAAAGCGAACCCGTAAAAAGGCTGCAGTGTCTTTTTAGAGCACTAGGTCCGTGTTAGTAGGTGGAACACAGGGGAAAGTACATCTGCCTCGTAAGACAGGAAGGAAAGTTTTTCCCTGTGAAAGTGATGTCAGTCCAGGAAAGGGGTCCATATAGGTGTATAGCTGGCCACAAGTGGTGCCAAAGTAAAGAGTTTGGGCTTGTGTGTTCTGCCCCTAACGGGATCAAAACAAACGGGGGGGGGAATTATGGTGGCAGTGCGGTATCCTGCCACGGGAAGGAAAGCACGATGGAGACCCTGGATTTCTCAACCATAGAGGTTGAGGGCTCAGGGCAGATCTCCTTAATGCAGAGGAAACTGTTTATCAGTTTCCTCTTTTGTTGGTAAAGCCTGTTTTGGACCTGTAGCCCTGGAGATTTCTTAGAGATTTGGGAGGGGATGAAATCTCCAATCCTGGGCCCCATATATTTGGGAGCAGCCAGCGTGCTGATTGCACAGGTGTGTGCAGGTCTTTTAGGGAAGCCAGGCCATGATTCTGGGCTCCACCCCGGCAAACTGAGTCGGGAGGGCTACCACCCAGCAGGAGGATTCCAACCCGGCAGGCAGGAAGGTCTCTGCCGTGGAGTCAGGTGGGCTACACCTAGGAGAGAGTGGAAGCCAGACTAGCTGTTGCTAGTGCCATACTTTGGGAAGAGTCTGCAGGAGGCAGACTTAAAACTGCATACAAGCCAGGGAGGTGAATACTGTTGCATTTCGTATATATTGGGTTTGTGATGGTGGATACCTCTGCGTAGGGAAACCTTTATGTTATTGAACTGCCTATGTTCCTGTTTAGGATGTTCCCATGACTGCTTCCCTAGGGTTTCTGTTTCAGGGTGACTCTTCTCTTGCAGCATCTTTTGGAGACACCCTTACATGCAGGGACCAGAGTTGTGTCTCTCTACACTGCTTGCATCAATAGAGACACACTACACTATAACCTAAGATTTCACAAGGTATTCTTCTGCTCCTCCCATCTCTCCTACCTTCTCCATACTAACAGACTGACAGGAGACTGCACTGTCTACTGTTAATTCGGAGCTCCACCCGCAAAAAGGGGAAGTTCCGCTTTAAGGACTGCTGCTCCCTCGCTCCCCATTAAGGAATTGGCACCTTTGGGGGGCAGGGGGGAGCAGGTACCTGAATTTGACAGGTACCTGCTCCCACTTCCGGTCCGATCGCCTAGGCGATAAGAAACCGGAAGGTGTCCTCCCTCCCTCCCTGTAGTCTTTTGGGACACGTGACAGGTCCAAGAAGAGTACAGGACCATTCATGAAGCGCAAGCGCTACTCGTGCATGCGCAGTGGGTACTCGGCTGTGAAGCCGCAAGCAGTCACAGCCAGGTGCCCACACACTGATGATGCCGGCCTCCTGGAATACAGGACAGCAGGTGAAACAGACTTTAGGGGACACACCACGGGACCGAGGGACAGGTAAGTGGCTATTTTTTTAAAAGTCAGCAGCTAGAGTTTTTGTAGCCGCTGAGTTTTATTTTTTGACAGGGTGAGGGGAACTCCACTTTAACTCTGAGATTCTAACTATGTTTGGCCAGGCTGATTGTACCCAGAGGCGTCCCTAGGGCTGGTGTCACCTGGTGCGGTAACACGTGGTGTCACCCCTCCAGAGAGGAAGAAGCCATGGCGGTGTAGCAGTAAAATTAGTATCCCGACCCGTGAAGATATGTATCCCCTGAAGCAACTGCGCATGTGCTGGTTTCAGGCCGAAGACGCACATCTCTGACTTTATCACAGAGCTGTCACAGTTAACCCCATACATGCTGAAAACTGCTGAAGCTGATCCTGCAGATCAATATGGGTTGCAAGATCAGTTAACCCCATATAGGTTGAACCTATACGGGGTTAACTGATATTGCAACCCATAGTGATCCGCAGGATCAGATTCAGCGGTTTGCAGCCTGTAATGGGTTAACTGGGCTAAAGGTGGAGATCAGCAATCGGCTTCTTCGGCCTGAAACCGGCACATGCGCAGTTGCTTCAGGATACATATCTTCACGGGTCCGGGATACTCATTTTACTGCTACATCGGGGGCAGCTGTCACTGTGCTGGTAATCCAGGATCACCCCAATAACTGTCCAGAACTGTCCAGGACCTTCACAGAACTCAGAAGCTCTACTGGTATCCTGCTCCTGCACCCACGGTGATGGTGTCACCCGGTGCAGCCCGCACCCCCCACACCCCTCTAGGGATGCCACTGATTGTACCTAATTCAATTGTTGTAGGACTTGGCTACAACCCGCATACCAGATTTTTACATGCAATTATTGCCAGTGGCTACAGCAATAATTACTGCGCTCTCCCGGCAGGGACGACTCCCCGCACCAAGACCACCCAACGCCGGGAGAACAAAATAGCTTCATAGAAGGAATTCCCCCATCAACACTGACTGTGATGATAGGGGAATCAAACTATTTTATTTTTATGCAACCCGAGATTGCAAGAAAGAAAATCACATCATCTATGGCCTTCCAAGCACTGTGTGAGAGTGAAGGTCTCATGTGATCGTTGATCTACTTACCAGAAAGCTCCTCCAGGCACTGTTTGGCTGTCTTACTGTATGAATCACTTTTCGTTGGGCTAGTGCAGAAATCAGCAGGTGGTAAAGTGGTCTCATTTTCTGAGTGTGTTCTGAAAAGAAGACAATTTTATCTTTCTTTTTTATCACATGTTTATATAATAACATCACAAAATCAATCTGCATATTAATGAACATATTAAAAATGTCTTCCACCCAGTTAACTTGCAATACCCATCCATTGGTGGCTACATTACATCAAAACAAGAGCACAAATCTGAAACAATGTTTTCATAAATAATGCAGAAGGGAAGTCATGTTGTCAGAAGAGATAGAGCACTCAGGAGATTACACTGTTATCTCACAAAAGCACTAAACCACTTGAAAATTATAACTTGATTTAATGTCTCTTATGATGTTTATTATCAGTCCATGCAGATGACTATTTACCATCAAAGAATATTTCATCTCAAAGAAAGCTCATAAGGCTGAGTCATTTAAGTTGCTATTTTATTGTACAAAATATATTTCCAGGGAATCCAGGACTTCTTTGCTGATAACCCTTCGTTCTTAATGTGAGCCAGCATGACAATAAAAATAGAAGGGTAATATAAACCTCCAAAAGCAGGCACTAGGTGCTAGACATATGTTTGGTTCTTAGGAAGAACAGCATATAAAATACTGGCCCTGATTGGGGGAGCAAGTTGAAGATTGTATACAGGTTGAATTCTAATTTGGGGGGGTCCCCATAGGTACAAATATGTTTTCCTGATAATTAAATACATATACAGGCACATTTCAGTGTTTTTTCTTATGTGATAAATTATTTTTACATTTATTGTCATGCCAGGGTCACTTCAAAGTCAATGAAACACTTTGAGTAGATTTAAATCTAAACCTAAGAACAAATAATTGATTGCAACCTACTAGCCCTTAGATGTGGTGGCTGCATTAGTCATCCCTTTCAGGCTGTTTTTCTTTATTTTCACCTGGGGATCCTGCCATTAACACACTTTCTGTCTTAGGGTGACTACACTCACCAAACTGTATCTATGGAGGAGCAATGCTGTCACACCATAACATTGTGTGGGAAGTGTCCTGTAGTTTGTGGAGATAGCTGGGACCACTTTACACTGATAAGAGTGCATTAGAGGCATAGTGGACATCAGGGATGAGCTCAGGCATGTTCGGACACCACAAGTCTAACCCCACCAGGAAGCTGTCAAAGTAGACAGGTAGTCATAGGAAGCACAGGAATTCCCTACCCTGTAGCCACACATGTACATATCCCTTGTATACGTGCAGCTGCGGGGTGGGGTATGCCTCCACTGCTTATGATTGGCTGTTTGCTTTGACAGCTTTTTGATGGGATGGCTCAGGTAGGTTTGGGTTCCTGTCCAAACATGCCTGAACTCATCCCCAGTGCACAGGAAATTATCAGTTCCCAAAATCTTGTAGGATCAACAGGTAGTTTTTGCACTTATCAAACAAAAGTAGTAACACATTTTTAATGGTATATTTAAACGGTAACTCCACTTTCATGGGAATAAAAGAGCAAAATAAAAAATATATAGCTTATACAATTTCTACACAAGCCATATACTAATAGTATATGATTAAAAATTACCTTTTCTTTTCAATCTGCAGCATTCTCATTTTCTGTAAAATTCAATGAAATATGGCAACCTGGAGGCATTCCATACACCACCGGTGTACTGACACCCCCAGAAATGGAATTTCCTGCTTGTGTGATTCACTCACTGATTTCCCCAGAAGTCTGCACTAAGATAGAATTCAAATTGTACGCATCCTCCAAAATAAAATTGTCATTTTTGGTGAGAAACTCCCTAAAGGGGTAATCATGTCTAAAGGGATGCAGGCACTGCAACTTTTTTCATCAGAGCATTCCAAGAGCACCAGGTGATTAAAATTAATTCCCATTCTTTCCCTGTATCCAAAAACATAGTTGGACATACAGCTTCTTCTTCAGAGCAGAAACAGATAGGAATCTACAGCAAAGTTTATTAAAAGAGAAGAAATACAGCCAAAGTTATTTTGTAGATCACAGGAGTGCAGTTCGTTCTGCACTCCTGGGCCTGTTTACAACTGAAGCCCACTGTTGGCCGACGTTGCTCAGCCGGTCCAGGCTAGGGAAAGATCCCGACTTCAAAGTCGGGATGCACCCCAGAGTCTGGAGCGCAGGGGGGCAGAGCAGACAGCGGTGACTGACAGTCACCGCTCTCTGCTCACAGCAGCAGTGAGAACTCAGCAATCAGCAGTCATGTGATCAGTGAGTTCTCACACTTAGAGCCCATGGGGGACAGATGCAGCATCGGTTCAATACTGCATCCATCTAGGCAAGTATAATTTGGAGGAAAGAAAAAACACCCAAACTTCCCTTGTAAAATCCTTGCAAAGTACATAGATTACCCAAAGGGGATTGTTGTTTCTCCACAAAAGTTGAGTTACTCTTTAAAGCAGAACTAAAGTTCGCAATACCTGTGCTTCAATTGCCTGACACCCATGAGGTCCCTTGCCGGTGTCAGTATCTTCTGCTTTTTCCGGGTGGCAGTCTTTGGCCATATTGATTGGCTGGCGCTGGATAATGTCCATACATGGGTAGGAGTTTTGTCATCCCAGCACACAGGCACTGTGCCAGAATGTACACTGAGCTGCGCATGCACAGCTCAGTGTACACTGTACAGATAACGGGGAGCAGGCAGGTAGGTTTATTTTTAATGCAAAACAGACACTGCATGTTTCTTCTGCAATAAAAAGCTTGCCTATTGGAGACATTAGATCTGCTTTAACAGCTCAAAAAGGACCAAATACAGTACAAGTTCATTGTTCTGGGTTAACAAACACACCAGGTAGTTAGAAGGAGGGAGGGTGGATTTTAGGTTTAGTTAGTTTTGTGTGTTTTTAGTGACTCAGATAATACTGAAGCTAGGGACAAGCAGGCAACGTTTATTTTTCTAGAAGAAGGTGAGCAATCCACTCCCTGTATTTCTTCCACTACTGATTTCTCTTAATAATCCAATCTTTAATTATATTAAAAGTCACTGATCCCCAGGTCAAGCAAGCAAATTAGAAGCTATAGTGAAT